AAATTCATTATAAATGTTGTTTTTTAGGAATCCAATAAGAAATAGGGGTACTACATTATTATTTTATTTTTTCATTAATTTACGAATATTGAGATGTTCTTTTCATGTTTAAACTTATGTTAACCATTCAATTTGCATCACATAAAAGAAAAGTCATAGAATCATCATAGATAAAATATATAATCATATACGGACTACAATAAAAAATGGATTAAATAGATGAAAAATTGTCACTAAAATCTCGAATTATTGTATTATCTTTTATTTTATTTTTTATTTTTATTTTTTGATGACGTTATTTTCTTTCTTTTATTTTATTTTTAGAGGATAAATTGTTTTTTGACAAGAAATGCATGTTTCATTATCTTTTATTTTACTTTTTTCTTTTATTTTTTTGATGATATTATTTTTTCCTTTTATTTTTTTTGAAGGATAAAAATAAAAATATTTTTTTCTTTTTTTTAGGACGTTATTTTCTTCATCTTTATTTTTTTTATGACATTATTTTATTCTTTATTTTTTTTATTTTTTTGATGATATTATTATTTTTTTTCCTTTATATTATTATAACTATTATTATTTTTATGATATTTTTTTTTATCTTTTTTCTTTTTTTATATGATATTAGTTGACAAAAGATTATTTTTTGATGATATTAATTATTTTTTATTTCGCTTTTTTTCTTTCTGTTTTTTTTATAACATTCAAGAGGGAAAAGATAAAGGTTCAAACTCAAACCTAAGACCTTTTGCTTAAATGATAACATGATAACCAAACCCCTTGAATGCCACATTATATTAATTTCCCTATAATAAAACGATATATTGATTTGAGGTCCAACGTTGCGCATTAAATTGTATTTGTCCCACATCGAAGAGAGGTGGGACAAAAAACGGTTATATAGGCACTTCCACTAGCATCTCTCATGAAGCTTTAGTTGAGGTGAGAACCACGTATTTGTCCCACATCGAAGAGAGGTGGGACAAAAAACGATTATATAGGCACTTCCACTAGCGTCTCTCATGAAGCTTTGGTTGAGGTGAGAACCACGTGTGGCGTACACGAGGCATTCAAGATTTCTCCACACATGTGAAGTTTTGTGACGTTTGCTAGTCTGAAGTTTTGTGACATCTGCTAGAACCGTTTTTGACGTCTGCTAGTTTGAAGTTTTGTGACGTCTGCAAGAACCGGCGGTTTATGACGTTGGGCGGTTCTGCTAAAAAGTCGACGGTTTATGACGTCTGCTAGAACCGGCGATTTATGACGTTGGGCGGTTCTGCTAAAAAACCAGCGGTTTATGACGTCATGTGGGAAGTTCGGCTCAAAAACCAAGCAGTTCCCGATTTTACACATAAATCGGCATGGGGCGACCGATTCTCGTGCCGACTTGGGCAAGTCTGTTGCGACTCGCCGATTTTTTAAACACTGGTTGTAGCAACCTTAAACAATCCAATTAATGTTGTGAAAATATCGGTTGCAGCAACCTTAAACAGTCCAATTAATGTTGTGAAAATCTTTAAACAATCCAATTAATGTTGTGGAAATTTCTTAAACACTGGTTGCAGCAACCTTAAACAATCCAATTAATGTTGTGAAAATTTTTAAACAATCCAATTAATGTTGTGAAAATTTTTAAACAATCTAATTAATGCTGTGAAAATTTCTTAAACACTGATTGCAACAACCTTAAACAATCCAAT